ATACTTGTTGAACCTCTCCGCAGAAGGACTCTTGCTGAAACCCTGAGCCTCTATAGTAGGATTCCAAAGTCAATCATCCATAGATGGGTTTCTACTGGAATATAAAAAAAGAAAAAAATCATTGGTGCCCCTTGGCATTGTATTGGCCCTCCGCTGGTAAAGCGCTGGCACAGCACACGGGTTGCCCTGGAATCGACTTGGCACTGCATCCCGCTCGAAGTCCATCATCCAAAAAGATGCCTGCCCAACTTCTCCAAACATGATCGACCCACGAACCCGGAAAGGAATACATAACTGTAAAGCATGGCGGGCAAATGCGATTGGGAGACACCCAGACACCTGATTGGGAGACGGGCAAATGCAATGCTGAAAATATCGATCTTGATGTACCGTGCCGAGGGCTGTGCTGTGCTGCGCCGTGCTGAATTGCGATGTGCCATGCCGCGATTGTGTTCTATCGTTGTGGATCGAGTCTTCCTTTGCATCCGAATCCTGACCGAATTGATCTGGAACTTAAGCTCGAGCTGCCTCAGCACATAGTAGCTGCCCCAAAGCTAATTGACAGGGGGACATGTTGATGAGGAGGACGCGCCGCGGCACGTCCCAAGGGACGCGCCAGGCGACGTGTCAGGGGACGTGCCATGGGGGCGCACCGCGAGACCTGCCAAGAGACGCGCTACGGAACGTGCCAATGGACGTGCCACGGGACGTGCCAGGGGACGCGCCGCGCGACGTGCCAGGGGGACTCGCCACAGAACGTGCCAAGGAACGCGCCAAGTTACAATGCTGAGTGTATCGATCTTGATGTACCGTGCCGACGGCTGTGCTGTGCTGGGCCGTGCTGAACTGCGATGTGCCATGCCGCGATTGTGCTCGATATAGCGTTGTGGATCGAGTCCTCCCTGGCATCCGAGTCATCACCGAACTGATCTGGATCGTAAGCTCGAGCTGCCTGAGCAGATGGTAGCTGCCCCAGAACTAATCGACAGAGGGAACATGCCAAGAGGACGCGCCGCGGAACGCCCCAAGGGACGCGCCAGGCGACGTGCCAGGGGACGTGCCATGGGCACGCACCGCGGGACGTGCCAAGGGGACGCGCCACGGAACGTGCCAATGGACGTGCACCGCGCGACGTGCCAGGGGGACTCGCCACGGGAAGCTCCGCGGAACGTGCCAGGCAACACGCCAAGCTGCAATGCTAAGGGTATCGATATTGATGTACTGTGCCGAGGGCTGTGCTGTGCCTGGGCGACCCGGACACGTGAAAACACGCGTTTCGCTCAAGACGTTGTCAGCACATCCTCATGCTAGACATCCGCCTGGGCAACCTGGACACGTGCAAACAAACGTCTCGCTCGAGACATCCTCAACAAATCCTCATGCTAGACATCCGCCTGGGCGACCTGGACACGTAAAAAGAAGTGTCTGGTTCGAGACACCCCCAACAAAACCTCATGCTAGACATCTGCCTGGGCAACCTGGAGGCGTGAAAACCAAGCGTCTCGCTCGAGACATCCTCAAGACCTGGGCACGTGAAACCAATCATTTCACTTGAGAGATCCTCTGAATTCTGGTCCCCAGGAGAGGACAATCTAGAACACAAAAAAAAACATTTCGCTCGAGACATCCTTAACAAATTCTGAACAACAAGCGTTTCGCTAGGGACATCCTGAATTTCTAATTCGCCGGCCCTCTTCCCAGTCGTTATTTATCGCAAAAGAAATCCGCCGGCCCTCTTCCCGTCAAAACCGGGGAGAAACAAACTAAAAGAGAATCGTGGGCCTGAAGCCCTTCCCGGGAAATAAGGTCCAACTGAACTCCTCCATAGCAGGATTTCTGGTTCAGTCCTCCACAGAAGGACTACTATTGCAATCTGTTTTCAAAAATTCAGCGGTGCCCCTGGGCATTGCATTGGACTTGCGCTGACACAGCGCTGGCATAGCACAGGCAATGCCTTGGAATCGACTTGGCTCTGCATTTCTATTGAAGCCCTTCTACAGAAACCTTCTATAATAGGATTGCTAGTTCAATCATCCACAGAAGGGCCTCTATTGAACTATAGAAGAGAAGGATTCTCTGGTGCCCCTTGGCATTGCTTCGGCCTTGCGCTGGCAAAGCGCTAGCACAGCACATCCATTGCCTTCGATTTGCGGTGGCATGCAATGCCCTTGAAACCCTGCATAGAAGGAATCTAATTATATTCCTCCGCAGAAGGCTCTTACCGAAACCCCCAAAGCAGGATTCCTGGTTCAATCATCCACAAAAGGATTTCTATTGAAATATGGAACAACGATTCACTTGTGTCTCTTGGCGTTGCATGGCCTTGCGCTGGCAAGGCACTGGCATAGCACAAGCATTGCCTTGGACGCGAATTGCATTGCATTCATCTTGAAGTCCTTCATCAGAGGACTCCTAATGCATTCCTCCTCAGATGGCTCCAACCGAAATCCCGCATAGCAGGAGTCTTATTCAATCATCCACAGCAGGATTTCTATTGAAATGTCGAAGGGTAAAACAAGGTTCATTCATTTCGCGTTGGATAGCGTTGAATGGGGATTGACAGTGAGGTGACCAAGTGCTGACGTTGCACTGGCATTGTGCTGGCGACGCATTGGCATGGACATAGCGTAGAATTGCATAGAATTGGTGTTCCTTGGCATTGCATTGGCCTTGCGCTGGCAAAGAGCTAGCGTAGCACTTGCATTCAGTAGCATTGGACTCCTATTGTTGAAACCCTCCCAAAACATGATGGACCCACGAACCCGGAAAGGGATATAGACATGTGGAGCATGGACACGTTTTCATGATACCCAACTGGGCAACACCTCACGAAACATCCCACGAGACACCTCACGAAACAGCCCACGAGACACCTCACGAAACATTCCACGAGACACCTCACGAAACATTTCACGAGACACCCCGCGAAACATTCCACGAGACACCCCACGAAACATTCCACGACGACAGGCAACCACTCAACCAAGGCGGTGTGGTCGTGCTGGGGAGTGGTCGTGCTGGGGTGTGGTCGTGCTGGGGGGTGGTCGTGCTGGGGGGTGGTCGTGCTGGGGGGGTGGTCGTGCTGGGGGGTGGTCGTGCTGGGGCGTGGTCGTGCTGGGGCGTGGTCGTGCTGGGGCGTGGTCGTGCTGGGGTGTGGTCGTGCTGTGGTGAGGTCGTGCTGGGGTGTGGTCGTGCTGGGGTGTGGTCTTGCTGGGGTGGGGGTGCTGGGGTGGGGTCGTGCTGGGGTGGGGTCCTGCTGGGGTGTGGTCGTGCTGGGGTGTGGTCGTGCTGGGGTGGGGTCGTGCTGGGGTGGGGTCGTGCTGGGGTGTGGTCGTGCTGGGGTGTGGTCGTGCTGGGGTGTGGTCGTGCTGGGGCGTGGTCGTGCTGGGGTGGGGTCGTGCTGGGGTGGGGTCGTGCTGGGGTGTGGTCGTGCTGGGGTGGTCCGCACCCTGTGATTTATCGATCGGGTCGTGCTGGGGTGTGGGTGCGTGCTGGGGTGTGTCGTCGTGCTGGGGTGTGGTCGTGCTGGGGTGTGGTCGTGCTGGGGTGTGGTCGTGCTGGGGCGTGGTCGTGCTGGGGCGTGGTCGTGCTGGGGTGTGGTCGTGCTGGGGTGTGGTCGTGCTGAGGTGTCCCGCACCCTGTGATTTATCGATCGGGATTTCAAAAACAAGCGTTTCGCTCGAGACATCCTCAAACATAATTTCGCCGGCCTCCTTCGACCTCGATATTTATCAGGGAAAAATTTCGCCGGCCTCCTTCAAGTTGGGCACGGGGGACTATGTTTACATACTAAAAGAGAACCCTGGGCCTGAGCCCTTTCCGGGAAAAAGATTCCTATTGGAAGCCCTCCGCATACTGATTCCTATTTGAAGCCTCCACAGGAAGGTAGCACAGCCTTTGGTGTCCCTTGGCGTTGCGATGGGCCTTGCGCTGGCAAAAAGCTGGCACGGCACTGCCAGTGCCTTGGCACTGTCTTGGCGTTGCGTTGATATTCACATTCTACAGAGAATCCGCATCGAAACCCTCCACGAAAGGATTTCTCTGAACATCCTCCACAGAAATATTCTTATCGAACCCGTTGAAACCCTCCACACAAGGACTCCTACGAAATCCTCCGCGCAAGGATTCTTCTGGAGACGCCCGCAGAACGATTCCGATTGGAATCCTCCGCAGCAGAGTTCCGATTGAAATCCTTCACAGAAGGATTTCTATCAAAATCCTCCATATAATAATTTCCATTGAAATCCTTCACATAAGGATTCCTACTGGGATTCGAAACAAGAAGGGTTGCTACTGAAATCATCGACATCATGATTCCTATTGAAATCCTCTATAAAAGGATTCCACTTGAAACCGTCCACAGTGGGGATTCCCGTTGAAGTGCACAAGAGAAACGACTCATCGCGTTCGCATTGAACTGCCATTGAATCCGAATTGGCATTGTGGTTGCTCAGCATCTTGGCCCAGGAAAGGCGCAGTCCGAATTCGCGCTTTTGTGCTTCGCGCGATGTCGTCGAGCAGCGCCGCGAGGCGCGGGGGGGTGCTGCTGGTCAGGAGCACGTCGTCGACGAAGCAAAGGTTGGTGAGACCGGCGGTGGTGGTGAACACCAGCTGGGCCCCTGGCCCTTCTTTTGTCGTTCGGAGATTAGACGCCAAGATGTGCTGCAGAAGAGTGTTGACGAGGAGATGCCCCGTTCAGAACAGGCTGAATGGCGGGGTGGTAGTTCTCAGGAAGTGCGAAATCTTAGGGATCGATCTCCGCGGCATCGGTGCTCTTCAAGCTGGCCGGCGGCGGGGCGTTGAACTGTATAATCGTCCTGTAGAATTGAAGAAGTGCACGTCTGAGTTTTCCCGCGTCCTCTTCCAGCATCTCTGGTCGGAGGCCCTCGGTGCCGGGTGCCTTGCCAACGCGAAGCCCGCTTATCGCATCGTCCAACTCTGTTCTTGCGGAAGGTGAGAGGTCGTCGTCGGCCTGCTCCTGCTGCGTGGTTCTGCGTCAAGGTGCTCGAACATTTTTGTGAATACATCTGCAAGTTCCTGCCGACTCGTGCGTTTAACGCCGTTTGTGTCCGCCATGTGCGTGATGGGAGCCCGCTTCCTGCGTGTGTTGATGCGCGCGGTGGTCATCAAGTCCCTGAACTGCTCGAGCACGCGTCCTTGGCCCCGTCGCGTCCTCCACCTTTGTGTGCGGATCTCTTGCTGCATGAGTTTGCTCAGATGCGCTCGGGTCTGGTAGTCGTCATTGGGAGTCTGGCGTCGTTGTGCCAGTGGCTCTACGGCACTGCTGGCACCATCTGCGTCGATATCAACTTGTTGGAAGTGCTCGCTCTGACATTGTGGGTCGGATTCGGGAGCGGCAAAGAGGGGGGCGTCAAAGAGGGGGGGTGCAAATCATGACCGGCGGCATGTGCGCGGCCCAGCGCGGGGGCCAGGGACGTAATGAAATAAGAAGAGGCGCCATGAAATCTGGGGAAATATCATGGTCCACGCCATGATATCCACCCCCCCTAGTCATCACCCCCCTCTTTGCCGCCCCCGACGGATGGCAACCCCTTGGAATGCAGCCGTGGACGCCGGTGCTCATGGTCGACGCTTGTGTGGAACGACTTGTCCGGTCAGCGGTCGACGTGGCGAGGGCCGGCGCTGTCGTCGCTCGTCGTCGTGCCACGGCCCCGGGGCCGCAGGCGACCCGAGAAGGGGAGGGGGAGGAGGAGGAGGAGGAGGAGGAGGAGGAGGAGGAGGAGGAGGAGGAGGAGGAGGAGGAGGAGGAGGCGGAGTAGGAGGAGGAGGAGGAGGACGAGAGGAGAGGTGAGGGAGGGCGGGAGGGCACCTTGTGGTCGGATCCCAGGTCGGTCGCGTTGTTGGCCTCGGCGTGCCTGCGATGTCGGAAACGCCTGCGGCCCAACACGCTGTTGTCGGGTTGCTTCTGCTCGTCGCCGCTGGTGTACGTGGTCTGCTTGTGCGCCGGCTTGCGGAACAGTGCCTGCTGCAACAGCCAGATCCTCCTGGGTAGCCCAATGTCATGGCCAGGTGCCCCTCGAACTTATGATCCCATGTCCATGGCGGCTACCACTTCTGGAGGTGACGTCGTCGTCGTCGTCGTCGTCGTCGTCGAGCGGCAGCGCCCCCGGGGGTGGGCGATCGCGCTCGGTGGAGGCGGCGGCCCGGCCCAGGCAGCCGGCGGCTCGGCCCCGAGCTCGAGGCGAGGGGCCACCGTGGACCTCTCGAGCTCACCTGAGATCACCGGCGGCGACGATAGGAGGAGGAGGAGGAGGAGGAGGAGGAGGAGGAGGAGGAGGAGGAGGAGGAGGAGGAGGAGGAGTAGCCCAGGGGCGGGCATGAGACGCATGCGCCCAGGAGCCTCCTCGAAGACATGGCTCGTCGGCGCCCCTGGATACAGTCGGGGCCTTGACCCAAGGAACCCCAAATAAGGAACGGCGCCCCATTTTTCCATAAGTTAAACTTCGATTTCCCATCGAAACGTAAGGAAAACCTGAGGCAAACTGTGAAACGCTCAAGGAACGCGGAGCCCCTCCCAAACGACACGGGTTCCTTCTTCAGGGCCCCGACTGCAGGGGCGAACAGCCCAGGGGCGGGCATGACACGCATGGCGCCCAGGAGCCTCCTCGAAGACGTGGCTCGTCGGCGCCCCTGGATGCATGTGTTGCACCCCCCCTGGGCCATTCGCCCCCGTCGTCGCCTCTGGGATCATGGCGCCTCTATTTCTGCCTCGACCGGGGCGTTTTTTTCCCGCCCCGCTTCGGGCCGCAGAGCCCCCACGGGCCGATGCGCTCCTCCTCCTCCTCCTCCTCCTCCTCCTCCTCCTCCTCCTCCTCCTCGGAAGCTGGGGCCCTGAGGCCCCGGTCGCGCTGCGCGGCGGACCTCCAGGTCTCTTGCCCGTGGCCCGCTTGAGATTCCCCTCGTCGTTCTGCCTTCTGGCGGTCTGGGGGCCCGGGGCCCGCCTCCGGGGGCCGGAGGCGGGCCAAAAATCGGGGGGCGTCCAAGAGAGGGGGGGGGGCCGCAAGTCATGGCTGGCGGCACGTGCGCGGCCCAAGGGGTAGGCGGGGACGTACTGAAATGAGAAGAGGCGCCACGAAATCTGGGGAGGCATCATGGCCCCCGCCTTGATATCCACATATCTCCCTGGTCATCACCCCCCCCTCGCTGCCGCCCCCGAAATCAAACGCTGGCGCCGCCTCGACCTGTCCAAGCCCTGATGGTCCGCTACCGAAAATTTCCGGTAGCGCTCCGCAGAGATCGGTCGCTACCGAAATACCGAAATGTAGCGCCCAGTACCGGGATCAGAGCGTTCTGAAACCCGCTATTTCCACGCCCTCAAACGAAGATCCGGTCGCTACCGAAATTCAAATTCGGGGTGCGTCGAAATCGCTACCGAAAATCTCCGGTGCCAGACCATCTGGGAGCCGCCGGATGCTCGGGGAGGCGGAAGTCCTGGGGCCCCAGCGACGTGCAGCAGAGCAGCGGCTGGCCCTCCTCCGCCTGGCGCTCGCGCGTCGACGCGTCGACGCGAGGGGGAGGACGCGGAGGAGGAGGAAGAGGGAGGGAGGACGAGGAGGAGGAGGAGGAGGAGGAGGAGGAGGAGGAGGAGGAATAGGAGCAGGAGGGTGGCCGCAGGACAAATATAGATGGGGGATGAACAGCGGGTGCAGGCCCCTCCTCTCCCTGCTCGTTCTCCTCCTTCTCGCCCTCCGCATCCCGCTTCCCTCCCTTTTTTGACCTCTTCGTCCACATTCACGTACCCTGCTCGCCCGAATTACCCTGCACGCATGAAGTCACGCATGGGAGATTAGCAGTCAGGAGATTCTGTGTCCACAATTCGCATAAATTTGCTCAGGCCTCCACGGGCTCAAACGCTCACGCACGTACATTCTCACACGCACACGCACACACCTGCATATACACAAATGTGCTCCTCCTCCAGCGCTGCGAAAGTCACGAACGCGTGCAAAATGGCGAAACACACTTACACTTACACTTACACTTACACTTACACTTACACTTACACTTACACTTACACTTACACTTACACTTACACTTACACTTACACTCACACTTACACTTGCACTTGCACTTACACTTACAATTACACTTACACTTACACTTGCACTTGCACTTGCACTTGCACTTGCACTTGCACTTGCACTTGCACTTACACTTACACTCACAATTACACTTACACTTACACTTACACACACAAACACACACACATACACCACACACACGCACACATGGCTCAAATGCATATATTGGTTGCATTCCCTGGTCGGGTGTCGCATACGAACCAAATGCCCACCTACCATCTTTCCGTACTTACGCCAGGCTGACAGCCGATTATCACGTGCTGCATGCAGGCTGCTTGACAGTCAGTCTCGTGCGGCCGCGCACACAGGATCCATCCAAATAGCATGATAACTAGCAAGAGACCAAAAGGTTCAAAACAGGCACGCCGACCTCGCGCCTGCCTTTTCCCAGTGACAGTGGTGAGAATATGTCCTGGGTTGAAGGCGCGGATTTCAATCATCCCATCCCGCAATTGTGCATACCGATTCCAGACAGGAAGCCATCGGGCTGGCCAGGGGCCCGACCATGCTATCTACGTTGTTACTGCTTGCTTGCAGTGATTCTAAACAGTATCCCTCCGAAATCCACATCCTCGATGCTGCTTGACGGTGAACGCGCAACCAACCCTAATGACCGAGGTAGCCCATAGCTGTGAGCAGGGCACCAGCTTTCAAAAGGCCAGCTATCAGACGTCGAAATTCGCAATTGAATGTGGCACGTGTGCCGGCAAGTCTTCGAACATGAACATGGTGGGAGGCCCCCTCCGGCCACCTCTGCAGGCTTCCACTGCTGGCGGCCACTCTCATTCCCAGGAGAATTGATCAGAAGGAGGATTCCGAGGCGTGCGAACTCTGCACACTTCTTTTTCGAGCGGCAAGGACACAACCACAACCTACACCATTTCATATTCGATTTGGCGTATCCGTGCGCTGTGTTGCAGCCGCTGCTGCAGGTACAGAACACAACGCCCATACGCTTAGACCGATCCTGGGAGCCCAAAATGCATGCACCGATCATGGGTGCAGGATGGCCCTGGCCCTAAATCTAAATATTCTGAATTAAATGTGCCCTGCGCGTTTTTTTGTTTTACAGTTTTTAGCTCGGCGTGTTGAAAAAACATGATGGACCCACGAACCCGGAAAGGGATATAGACATGTGGAGCATGGACACGTTTTCATGATACCCAACTGGGCAACACCTCACGAAACATCCCACGAGACACCTCACGAAACAGCCCACGAGACACCTCACGAAACATTCCACGAGACACCTCACGAAACATTTCACGAGACACCCCGCGAAACATTCCACGAGACACCCCACGAAACATTCCACGACGACAGGCAACCACTCAACCAAGGCGGTGTGGTCGTGCTGGGGTGTGGTCGTGCTGGGGTGTGGTCGTGCTGGGGGTGGTCGTGCTGGGGGTGGTCGTGCTGTGGTCGTGCTGGGGGGGTGGTCGTGCTGGGGGGTGGTCGTGCTGGGGCGTGGTCGTGCTGGGGCGTGGTCGTGCTGGGGCGTGGTCGTGCTGGGGCGTGGTCGTGCTGGGGCGTGGTCGTGCTGGGGTGTGGTCGTGCTGTGGTAAGGTCGTGCTGGGGTGCGGTCGTGCTGGGGTGTGGTCTTGCTGGGGTCTTGCTGGGGTGGGGTCGTGCTGGTGTGTCGTGCTGGGGTGTGGTCGTGCGTGGGGTCGTGCGGGGTGGGGTCGTGCTGGGGGAGTGGTCGTGCTGGGGTGTGGTCGTGGTGGGGGTGGTCGTGCTGGGGCGTGGTCGTGCTGGGGTGGGGTCGGCTGGGGGGGTCGTGCTGGGGTGGGTTCGTGCTGGGGTGCTCCGCACCCTGTGATTTATCGTCGGTCGTGCTGGGGTGTGGTCGTGCTGGGGTGTGGTCGTGTGGTCGTGCTGGGGTGTGGTCGTGCTGGGGTGGTCGTGCTGGGGGTGGTCGTGCTGGGGGGTGGGGTGGTCGTGCTGGGGGTGGTCGTGCTGGGGCGTGGTCGTGCTGGGGCGTGGTCGTGCTGGGGCGTGGTCGTGCTGGGGTGTGGTCGTGCTGTGGTGAGGTCGTGCTGGGGTGTGGTCGTGCTGGGGTGTGGTCTTGCTGGGGTAGGGTCGTGCTGGGGTCGGGTCGTGCTGGGGTGTGGTCGTGCTGGGGTATGGTCGTGCTGGGGTGGGGTCGTGCTGGGGTGGGGTCGTGCTGGGGTCTGGTCGTGCTGGGGTGTGGTCGTGCTGGGGTATGGTCGTGCTAGGGTGGGGTCGTGCATTTCGCTCGAGACATCCTGCCAAAATTCCAGGAAATCGTACAAAAACAAAGGAATTAGTCGAGACATCATCGAAATTCCTTCGCGCGGGGCGCTTTTCCGCGTCGCGGTCGGCTCTGCAAAACAAGCGTTTCGCTCGAGACATCCTCGGCAAACTCTGCGGAGCAAGCGTTTCGCTCGAGACATCCTCAACACACGAAAAAGTGGCCCGCACCCTGTGATTTATCGATCGGGATTTCAAAAACAAGCGTTTCGCTCGAGACATCCTCAAATTTTAATTCGCCGGCCTCCTTCGACCTCGTTATTTATCAGGGAAAAAATTCGCCGGCCTCCCTCAAGTTGGCACCGGGGGACAGGTTTACCTACTAAAAGAGAACCCTGGGCCGATGCCCTTTCCGGGAACATGTGTCCATGCGCTTCTAGGTCCCAGCCAGGAATTACAAACGCTACCTATCCAGGTGAAGGGCCCAACCATATGCGATTATGAATATCGCCGTTGTGGGGTATCGCCTTCGGTGGAGTTCCTTACGGGACCACGAAGCGTGTAAATGGTGTCCCGAAGTAGGAGCGGGGACGCATGCGGGCGCAGCCACTGGGGCCTTCGGTGCAGCTCCCTATGGGGCCACGAAGCGCCGAACTGGGGGGCGCCGGACGCATTTGGTCATGCCACAGGGGCCTTCGGTGGAGCTCCCCATGGGGCCACGAAGCGCCGTACTGGGTGGCGCGGGGCGCATTTGGTCACAGCCACTGGGGCCTTCGGTGGAGCTCCCTATGGGGCCACGAAGCACCGTATTGGGTGGCGCCTGGTGCATGCGCTCACAACCACTGGAGCTTTCGGTAAGGGTTATATGAGGCTACGGAACACTGTGCTGGGTGGCGCGGGGTGCATGTGGCCACAGCCACTGGGGCCTTCGGTGGAGCTCCCAGTGGGGCCACGGAACGCATTACTGGGTGGCGCGGGACGCATGTGGTCGCAACCACATGGGCTTTCGGTGGAGCTCCGTGTGGGGTCACCAAACGCCGAACTGGGTGGTGCGGGGCGCATGTGGTCACAGCCGCTGGGGCCCTCGGTGGAGCTCACTATGGGGCCAGACGCTGGTGGTTGGGGCCTGAGGTCAAGCTCCCTTTGGGGCCACAGAACGCCAAACCGGGTGGCGCGGGACGCACGTGGTGACAGCCAGTGGAGTCTTCGGTGGAGCTCCCTATGGAGCCACGAAGCGACGTGCTGGGTGGCGCGGGACGCATGTGCTCACAGCCACTGGGACCTTCGGTGGAGTTCCCTTTGGGGCCACGAAACGCCGTACTGGGTGGCGCGGGACGCATGTGGTCACAGCCATTGGGGCCTTCGGTGGAATTCCCTATGAGGCCACGAAGCGTGTGAGAGGCGTGCCGGGATTGGGTGCGGAAGGCTGAGGCAGGGATTGGAGGAGGGAGGGGGGGAGGAGGACGGAGTGAGGGATGCGGCGCGCTGTCTCTTCAACATGATGGACCCACGAACCCGGAAAGGGATATAGACATGTGGAGCATGGGCACGTTTTCACGATACCCAACGGGGCAACACCTCACGAAACATCCCACGAGACACCTCACGAAACATCCCACGAGACACCTCACGAAACATTCCGCGAGACACCTCACGAAACATTCCAGGAGACACCCCGCGAAACATTCCACGAGACACCCCACGAAACATTCCACGACGACAGGCAACCACTCAACCAAGGCGGTGTGGTCGTGCTGGGGAGTGGTCGTGCTGGGGTGTGGTCGTGCTGGGGGGTGGTCGTGCTGGGGTGTGGTCGTGCTGGGGGGGTGGTCGTGCTGGGGGGTGGTTGTGCTGGGGCGTGGTCGTGCTGGGGCGTGGTCGTGCTGGGGCGTGGTCGTGCTGGGGTGTGGTCGTGCTGTGGTGAGGTCGTGCTGGGGTGTGGTCGTGCTGGGGTGTGGTCTTGCTGGGGTGGGGTCGTGCTGGGGTGGGGTCGTGCTGGGGTGGGGTCGTGCTGGGGTGTGGTCGTGCTGGGGTGTGGTCGTGCTGGGGTGTGGTCGTGCTGGGGTGTGGTCGTGCTGGGGAGTGGTCGTGCTGGGGTGTGGTCGTGCTGGGGGGTGGTCGTGCTGGGGGGTGGTCGTGCTGGGGGGGTGGTCGTGCTGGGAGGTGGTCGTGCTGGGGCGTGGTCGT